TGTGGCTCACAGTTGTACGTAAGACTGGTTAGATCTGGTTTGGATCCTCATATCAGCATAACTCACTGCTTCTTTTAAAGTAAACTGCAGAGAGAGATAAGGGGCAACAAACAGGCCTGACTTTTTTTTATTTTGCGGGGGGGTGAAGGGGGGGGGCATCAAAGAGCTGTGTGGTTGTGACTACTGACCAAACAGGAGGATGGAGGTGATGCTGGTGTTGGTCCCTGGAGACGGCAGACTCTGCCGTGATGTAGTGCAGTGGGTCTGGATCAAACCTCAGTCAGGTTGTGGACAGGAGCACGCAGACCTTCCTAATGTCGGCTCAGCAACATCAAGTAGACCTTACCTTCTAAGAGCAGATGATGGATGAAGACCGAAGTCACTCCAAAGTATTTACAGACACGTTATCATCAGCCGATGACAGAAAGCTTCGTCTGATTTATGGTGGTGATAAAGGTTGGGGAGTTCACTTCCTTCTTTCATGACCCACTAAATAACCTACGCACCACACAACATCCCGTTGGACCCGGGCTCCAGCACGGCCCACTGGAGCTGGGGTGGAAGGGAAGCAGCTGTAACAGATATGATCTGGAGGACAAGTTCATTAGTCACGCTTCCCTGGTGGAGATAAGTCAAAGTCACGCTTCGCTAAGTGGGAGAGAAAAGATAATATCTTCAGGGAGGTGGAGAGTTGTCCTCGTGTCGCATCATCTCAACCAGCCGTCCTCCGGGAGGTTACCCAAATCCCTGGACTTGTAAATTGATTTAGTCTTATGGATGTCTCAAAGAAACACACTGAGGTCCAGACAAGGTTCAGAGAGTGTTAGTTAATGAACACATGTCACGAGGCCTATCACCCTAATTGTTGTTTATCCTCCAGGCTTTGTTTCAACGCCGTCACCTTTTGTCATGCGCGCACACACAGCTGTGGGACATCAGCAGCAGACGATGTCCTCAGATGACAGCTTCCTGCTTCATCTCTACGGTTCATCATGAGACCGATCTGTAGAGCTGGACATTTTAAAGACCAGCTCTGATAATGTGCCCCGACAAAGGAGCAAAAAGACAACTGGGTTTCCTCAAGAGATACGTCATGTGACCCAGTGATAATCTGCTTCTTGGCACAGAGTTCACGTTCCAACACTAGAAAAAAAAAAAGAATCTTCAGAGTTGTTCCCTCTTGACTGCAGTACACCCCTTGTTTTACTCCTCCAAAAAATGTCTTTGGCGCCCCCTAGAGGATGCTATCATCACTCTTACCCGTAGCACTATATAAACCATGTACCAAATGTTCTTCAAACTGCCTCGTCTCGTACAGACCTCCTAAATTGGCTTGGTTTGGTCTGATGAGCTCATTCGACTGCGTACCCAGTGACACATGAAGCCAGGACAGAACGACAGTTGCCTGAATCTTTGGATAACGAGCTGGCACTCCCAGAAAATTCCTATCTCCTGATGCTGAATATCATAAAAGTATATATCAGCTGCCAAGGAGAAAGTCTGACTAGAACAGAGACCAACGGTGGCCTCATTCCAGAACAAGGAGTCTGTTTGCTTCTGTCTCTCGTGTTACCTCATAAATAATGGATGTCGTACACATGGCGACAGTATCCACCCTGTGAAGCCATCATGAAACTGAGAACTTCATCCAAGTTGTTGCCTTCGTTATGGACACAGGCCTGCAGCTCATCTTCTCTCAGCGCACCAACACGTTCGGCGGCTCCGTCTGCCGTGGAAATGTCTCTCAGGGCCAAATCCCACACGGACCTGCAGACAGCCGGGAGGTCGTCTGTGGACGAGGGCTCGTACAAACCCTTCTCCATGAGCAGCACTAATGTCAACGGAGGCAGCTGGTTCAGGAATGGGGGATCAGAAGAAGTCAAAGGTCTCTCTCGGCCGACCAGGAGACCCGTGCGAGTGGTCAGGCCGGTCAGTGCCGTCAACTCCAACGGATCTTTTCTACAGATGAATCACCTGCAGGGGGAGCTGGTCAGAAAAAGGAAGGTAAATACAGTGACAACAAGATAGAAGTTGAACTTTGTTTTTGATTATTGTTAGATGATGAAGAAATGGAGATCAGCCTCAGTTCTCTACGAAGAACGTTCTAGAGTCTGGAGATCTGTGGTCTGAATGTGCATGACCTTAGATGACCTTTAACAGTCACATCTTGAAAACAAGACTTTGTTTTTCTGCCAGCAGCTGTGTCCATGTCATAAATACTGTCTGATCAGACGACAGGCTGAGGCCGATCCTCAGACTTACTGCACTCACGTGCTAACGTAGACGTCGACAGTAAATCCATGACGTTGGTTGATCAAAGCCTCCTGACGTAGTTATGAAAACATCACATTTTAACCCAAACTGTAAATACATCAGCAGGAGTCAGTGATAGGAAGCCAAACATCTCATTTGCTGAGATACCTGAGCACGCAATTCCTGATTCCCGATTGGTGGAATCAAGGTTTTCCTAACTTCTGGCCGCCAGTTTGCCGAGGCCTGAAGTCAGAGATGTAAAAAAGCAGCTGTATTTCAAAGCACTGTCCATACAGTGGACCCATCCATTATGTCTGGAGAGGATTATCATTAGATCATCTGAGCTCCCTCACCTCCCTCGCTGGAGTAAATCTTCCACGTTCCCTGTTTTTCTGCACGTCACCAACTCAAATAACGTAGAACTTATTTGGCAGGAATG